ATAAATAATTTGTCTATAAGTAGTACTGTACTTTGTACAATTTTATTTTAGCTTCCCAGAATACCTCACTCAAAAGTCACTCTTCTTCTTCTCACTCAACTCTTTCTTTAAGCTCAACTCTCGAGGACGACTTCCATTTTCTCTCTCCTCCCCATCCGTTAAAGTTTTAAGATATTGAACAGTTTCGAATATCATAATCTTATATTATCCTATAAAATTAATACTACAATCATAATTATAACATATAGTATTATATGTATGTTAAAATTATATTAATATTTCTGGTATTGTAGCGAGATTTCGAATGGTGTTTTGAATTTAGCAGTTTTAAAAAGGTGTAATGGATCCGCAGACGACGCTGATGAATGAAACGGCGTCGTTTAATCTGTCGCAGATCTGGCCGATTCCGTTAAATGGTGTTGCCGCTACAGGATTAGACCTTCGGAGAAGCCCGTTTGGGCCGAGTTTGGCCCGGTTTATTGACCCCGGCCCGAATCTTGAAGTTTCTGGAAGCGACGGCGGTGATTGTGGTGCGGCCAGAGGCGGATCCAGGATTTGATTAATAGGTGGTCCCATCATCGTCCATCGACCGCATAAAGTATCAAAAAAAAGTCAAAGCTTGTATAATGAACAAAAAAAAAAAATTACATAAAAAAGTTCATTTCATAAAGTAATGCAAATTCGTATTACAACTAAAAAATTATTAATTTTATTACAATTGCTCTCGACGAGTTTTCATATTTTGATAACGATTTACAATATCATCCATGCTAACATTCAAAAACAAATCTCTTTCTAAATAAGTAATCAAACAATCATTCAACATTTGATCTCCCATGCTATTACGCAATTTATCTTTCACTTGCGTCATTCCGGAAAATACTCTTTCTACACTTGCCGTTGCAACAGGAAGAATCAACACTAACTTCAAAAGTAAGTAGACTCGATCATGAGTATCAAACTTTCCCGTCTCAACAAGTTTCGTAGAAAGTTCACTTAGACTTTTCAAATTCCAAAATCTCTCATCATTTCGAACATCAACAATAAAATTTTCAAGTGAATGTTCAAAAAATAATAACTCAGAGCTTGAAAATTCATCGGGATAAAATTTGGCAAGTTGAACTAACTTTCTTTTGTCAAAAGAATGAAATCGATTTGCAGGATTAAAGCAAGACATACACACAAGTAATTCCTTACTTACCTCGGGAAATCGATTTTCAATTTCTTGTAATTGAAGATCAATGACACTTAGAAAAACTTCAACTCTAAAATGATGAAGATTAGTCACTTGTGGACCTTTACCTCTATACATTCTTCTCCCAGAACCACATATCGCCCCTCCATGTTTGGAACCTCAATGCCATATTTAGCCATAAAAGAAGTGACTTTTTCCATATGTGAATCCCATCCTTCATCTCTCAATTTTTGCAAATTAGTCTTGGTTACATCAACCACGATCATTGCATTTACAATATCTTGATCATGTTTTTGCAATGCCACATTCAACGCATTTGTAATTCCAAATATATCAACCATCAAGTGTGCCACAAACACAAAATCAAATGACATCAACAAGTGTGTAATAGATTGTGCTTTATTCGAATCAAGTGTATCAGATACTTCTGCAATGGAATCAAGTGACAAAACTATTGAAGGATATAAATCAAGCACATTCAAAATGGTTTTAAAGTGAGATCCCCAACGAGTATCACAAGGTCTACATAAGCCACGTTCTTGATTCAAACTAGTTCCCGATTCAATTTCACCCAAAGATAATGCTTCTACAACCCCTTGACGTTGTTTTTCTCGAAGAAATTCTTTCCTCTTAGGTGAACCTCCCACAAAGTTCAAGAGAGATGCAAGTACATCAACAAAAAGCCAACCACAATCTAAGTTTTTCTTAGCAAGTGCAACTTGTGTCAATTGAAGTTGATGAGCAAAGCAATGAACAAAGTATGCTTGAGAACATTCATTCAAAATTAGAGTTTTAAGGCCATTGATTGAACCTTGCATATTACTTGCCCCATCATAACCTTGACCTCGAACTTGAGAGAAAGTTAAAGAGTGTTCCATGAGTAATGACTCAATAGCAGCTTTGAGAGTCAAAGAACTAGTATCAGGAACATGCACAATACCAAGAAAACGCTCACACACTTCCCCCTTTTTATTAACAAATCTCAAATAAAGTGTCATTTGTTCCTTATCGGAAACATCGGCAGATTCATCAGCAAGAATAGCAAAAAATCCACCATCAAGTTCTTCCAATATTGCTTTAGTTGTTTCTTTAGCACAAGCATTAATTATATCTTTTTGGACACTTGGAGAAGTAAGTTGACAATTACCAGGGGCCATTTTAAAAACAACTTTGGAATACTCAGGATCATGGTTTGAAAGAAGAGTTAATAACGAAAGAAAGTTACCTCTAGACAATGAACTTTCCTTTTCATCATGACCACGAAAAGGCAACCCTTGGAACAATAGCCATTTAATGGTTTCAATTGAAGCTTCTAATCTCTTACGATAGGTACTCATGGTTTCCGCTGTTTGTTTTGATAAAGCGGTGGCAATGCTACTCATTTGATTCATGAAAAAGTTCATAGCAATCACAACATTATTGTGAGCACTCTTGTGTCCACCAACATGCTTTACAATTGTGTCTCTTTTATTCCAACGTCTGAAACCTCCATTAACAAAAGCATCCACTCCCGCTGTGTTACCATCTTTAAATAGATAGCAAATGAAACAAAAGGCAGCATCTTTCTCAACACTATACTCAAGCCATGTTGGCCAAGTATCAAACCAATTAACATTAAATCGACGTTTTTTCGGCCCAAAAAGTGTTTGAGGAAACGCATGATCTTTAGGTTGACATGGCTTTCTTTGAATGTATGTTCTCCGCACTAAATCCCTATCATCGGGATGAAAATCACACATCCTTCTTCTTTTCCCGGGGTCTTGTGGAAGATTAATAATATCAAGTGCACTTAACCTTCCTTCACCAATTTGAGCACTAGGATCCGAACCACCTTGGGGAAAAGATTGCCCATCTTCATTTTGAGGGAAATTGTGAGATGTTGAAGAATGTTGTTCACTAGCATGATGTAAAGGAGAACTTGGTTCACTTTCTTGAAAGGGTAAATCATTTTGTGGAGGAGGAGTATCATTTTGTGGAGGAGGAGTATCATTTTGTGGAGGATGAGGATTTAGAGTACGCACTTTTTTAGTAAAAAAACTTGAAATATCTCGAGTTGTTTTTCTTTTCATTCTGAAATTGAAGTTAAATGTTGAATTAGATAAATCATACAAGAAGGTAGGGTTCTCTCAAAGTTAATAAAACTAATAATATTATCAAAAGAACGCTCATTAACCTCAATTTCAATCCATCCTTCAACCCCAAATCTCCAAATTAGCAATCACCATTCTCAATAGCTAATAAGCAAGTTGGACAACTATTATCATTTATCAATTAAACAGAAATAATACTATAAAATAATAGGGCTCAAATGGTCAAATATCGGCCACAACTCACATTCACAAATCACAACATTCAACCTCTAATAAAATCATACAGATAATCAAGTGACGATAATCAAGTCATAAGATTCAAGCTCTAATAAAGTCATACAAATAATCAAGCTCTAATAAAATCAAGAAATTTCACCAAAAAAAAAAAAAAAAACAACTCATACAGTAAATTCGTGAATCGTGATATACATATAATCTGATAATTTTGATAATTAAACATTTAAACTGATGATTTGATATAGAATCTAATCAATTTGCAACGTAATTATGTAAATTAAAAGTTTAAAACTAACCTCAAAACAAAATTGAATTCACGGAGTACGGAATGAAGACCTCACACTCACGCCTGAGCAGAGCCTTGCTTCGGTTGCGGGACGCCGGGACAGACAACTGAAGTTGCTGGCGAGGTCGGCGACGGGGTTGCTGGCCAGTGGTTTTGCTGCGGTTGCGGGCAGTGGACTGAACTAAGTCTCACGCTGCTCTGTTCTCAGTCTTCTCACGCTACGCCTCAACGCCGCTAATAGGACGCCGCGACGGTGAGAAGGAGCAAGAAAAACGGCCGGTGAGGCGGTGAACGGCGACGGGGTTGCTGGAGTTTGGGGATTTCGATTTAGGTGAGTTTGGGACTTAGGGTTTTAATTTGGGGGAATTGGGGTTCTGACTTATGTTTTCATTCTAAAGCAAAAAAAAAAAAAAAAAAAAATTGTGAGTAATGGGATTTGAACCCACGTCTCATGAGTGGTAGGATGGGAAAAAAACCACTAGGCTGCAAGCTAAATCCTTAATACATAGTGTTTTTTTTTTTATAAAATAATAGGTGGTCCGCGGACCCACTATGACTACACGTGGGTCCGCCACTGATGGTATTTCTTTTTTTCCTTTTTAATTGCTTAGATATTATTAAGTTATTTTTAATTTAGTTCTGATGATTTTGCTTATTTTTTGAAGATTTCAGATTTAATGACAAATTTTGCTTACTTGCAGATTACAACGAACTGTTGATTTTGCAATACTATATAGAAATTTGAATTGAGATAATTATTAATCACGGCCAAATTATTACTAGCAGTATTATTTGATTAAATTTTGAATTTTGTTTAATATTTTTGTACGTGCTAAATGTGATCAATGAAAGTCATATTGACTTTAGGCTGCTTTATGTTATTGATAATGATGGAAGCAATTTAAATTAGTATTGCAATAATATTGCAATGGGTTAGGTAGTCACTATTCAGGTATTAGTTAGACATCGTCGAGATTTCATTAATTTTGGCTCTTTTAATTAAAATGATATTAGATTGTTATAGGAGCCATAGTGAAATTTTTTGATGGAACAATCGACCAAATTGGAGTTTGATTGAATAGGCATTTACAAGATGAATACTCGAAATCGACTGTGTCATCATTGTTGTAGCTATCATCTATGAACGCAAATATGCAACAGAGAAGACTTTACACTCAATTTTTTGTTTTGACAGAGTGATTCTGATGGTAAAAGGCTCAAATCAACAGGATCTGGAGATGAAAATCAGAATCAGAAAGCTAATAATGAAACAACTTCTGGAAAAGGAGGTGAACAAAAGAGTAAGCCAGTGTCTGATCCATCAAAGGATTATATTCATGTCCGAGCAAGGAGAGGTCAAGCAACTGATAGCCATAGCCTTGCTGAAAGGGTATTTGATTTTTCCTTGCTAACTTGTTTTCGCTATTTTTATGCCTTCATCTTTTTTTTTGCAAGTCTCTATAGTTGTTTTTAATTTCCAAAAATTATAACCTCACAATACAATTGTATATTATATGATCATTTTAAGGGATTAGATTTTTTTTTTCTTCGTATTTATCGTTTTCCTGTAAACCATTTGCTGTCAGAGATGTAGGAATATGATACAGTTGATAAAATATCAGATTTTTTTTTTCTTTTGCTGGCAGGCTAGAAGAGAAAAGATCAGTGAGAGGATGAGAATACTACAAGATCTTGTCCCTGGGTGTAATAAGGTTCGACCACTGCTGCTTCAATTTTTCCATGTATTGCTGTTGTCATTATTGTTATCATCTGAAGGGCTGATAAACTGTCATATTGATTTTTGCCATTGACATGAGTATTAATTGGACTGAATTCTCGGTCCACTTTTCTCTTATTGCATCTTATCAACTTATCTAGTTACGCTGTAAATCCTACCAAGATTTTTGGTATTTGGCGGTGTTTTGAGTTTTTCGAATATGTTTGAAGAGGTTCATGATCAATATCCTGATCCCTGACCAAACTTCTGTGTTTCAGGTCATTGGCAAAGCATTGGTACTTGATGAGATCATAAATTATATCCAATCGTTACAGCGTCAAGTTGAGGTGTGTAATTGCTGAAGCCGCTGGTTGTATGTTCTTTCTGTTGCCTTCTTATTGAGCTGTAACACTAACCCTGAATGCTCGTTGCAGTTTCTCTCGATGAAATTAGAAGCTGTCAATACGAGAACTAGCCCTGGTATTGAAGGATTTCCCTCAAAAGATGTAAGTAAAAAGATTACAAACTTTTGTCTCTACAAAGAATGAGCTGTGGCAATACATTTTTTTTCCGTCATCGGATCCTTTTCCTGCTGCTTTGTTAAATATGAAGTATATGATACGTGTAACATTGGAATGTAAGTTTTGCGGCAGCTTGCAAGCTTCTGGTTGGCCTTAGCTTCAGAAAAGTAATCGGCCCTTTCTCTGACTGTGTTCCCCTGTCAATTTGCAATTCAGAATGGCATTTCTCCTTCTTCTGGCATATCCTGGTTTTTATCAGTGTTTTCAAGCTCAAGTTCCCAGTTTAATTATTTTTATGGGGGAAAATCAGTGACTGATTCTGCCAAGATACAGCTGGCTTTTGAAGATTACCAAATCAAGTTTTATTCTCCCTCCGCCCCTTAAAGGCTTAAAGTTTTCCCCATCCACATTTTTTCACTCTATTAAGAGTTGTGTTGTGTGATTAGGTAGACCATAGACTTATGTGGGACAGTAATTAAAGTAGAGACTGACTGTAGGGATCACATTAACATATAATGGGCCAATAGGGTAATCTTTAAAGGACGGAGGGAGCATTTAGACATTAATTTTGAAAATTCAGTCTTATACGCCATTGTAGTGATTGTATTACACTATTACACTATTACTTGCTTGATTCATACTTTTGTTGTATAGAAACAGGAATGGAAAAATAGAAGTCGTGATATGAGTTTTTATACTATTGGGGGTTTGGGATGTGTGGAAATGCAAAATCTAAAACACATTGTTAATTACAAACCCCAAGAGATCAGTATGGTCGCGGTACATCACCAGAATGGTTACACATGCAGATTGGTGGTGGTTTTGACAGACAAACATGACAAAAGTCCACTGTTTGTCTCTCTAGCCTGGAAATAAGATCCATTTTAGCTAGAAGTAGCTCATACTCCTTCAATGACTGTAATATTGTATACCAGTCTACTAGTACCTTGATATAAACACAGACCTTACATCGATTACTGAATCAAGCGTGAAGTGTACTGTGTTTGTAAGAATACTTCAATTGAATTTACACATTCCCTTCTTTATCACTTTCCTCTTAAACATTTATGTAATACTTGTAATTGAACTTGTAGAGAATGTTCCCATATCAAAGGCTCAAAGCCTTAAAGTAGTCTTAGTGTCTCTTAGAATATGAGAGGGAGTCAGGGATACTGATGACTGACCCTGGGTGTTTTCTGAAAAATACGGAGTACGGAGTACTATGTTAACATGCAGGCCATATCCAAGTGGGGGTTATTGCTTGAAGGCCTTGAACCCTGATTAATAAGTTACAGATCATTGTCATAAGTTAATACGTTAATCCTACTGTGACTGATTTGTAGCTACTAAACTCCAACTAATCCTAGTTCTAACCGGGTCAGGCCATAAATAGCGGAACAAACTAAATTTGATAGCTTGTGGTTCTATGCTGTCAGCTATCACTACGAGACCAATATTCTTCACTTGACTGATTAAGAGGGTTCAATATTCAGAGGATCTTCTTAATCGCTGTTAATGATACTGTTAATTATGAATCTGCTAGTTACTGCTTTACAGGGTATTAATTTTTTTTTTAAGGTAAGAAAAAAGGAAAGAATTAGGATTCCCTCCTCACGACGGGCGATCTTAAAGCATCAGAGGTGAGAATGGGGTATAAAGCTGAAGAGGTACAAAATGAAATATCCAATTTGTCGGTGACAAGATGCCCAACATTTGTAATCCAATCTGCTGCTCTATTTGCTTCTCTGTAGACATGTCGAAGTTCCCAATGGGGAATCTGCAAAGTAGGATCTTGTTATCTTCTATAATGTGATCAATTTGCACGGGGTCGACCAAATACCGTTCACTGCATTGACAACTAGGAGGTCCCCTTCAATGTGAAGATTTTGTATTCCTTGTTGGAGGGCGAGGATGATTCCCTTGTGGAGACCAAAAGCTTTAGCTACGAAGAAGTTGGTGGTTCCAAGGTTGAAAGCTTGTGCTGCAATGGGTGTACCTTCACTGTCTCTGATGATGACTCCTGCTGTTGCTGAGTTGTTTTTAACCGAATTGTCGAAGTTGAGTTTGAAAGAGTTGAGAGGAGGAGCCTCCCATGTAACCAATTGTGGGTTGGGGTGGTTTGGGTGAGGTAGATGATGGGTTTGGGATCTCTGCATTGGAGACCCCGAGCTTAAAGAGGTATCTATGAGAATGCGATAATTCCACTCGTTGAACGCAAATTGCGCTTGGTGGAAGGTTTCAGGGATGCAAAAAGTCTCATTCTTGAAAATAATAGAATTCCGTTCTTTCCGGATACTTCATAAAAGGAAGATAAATTTTCGGAGGGAGGAGTTGTTTTTCCGAAGCATAGATAATGCCGTTATCAAGTCTGTGGGTGGAAGTGCACCAGGCAACCAGTTTTGGGTTAAAGTGTGGTTCCAAATTTCTTTGGCCTTATCACAAGTAAGAAATAAGTGGTCGTGAGATTCTGGATAGGCAAAACAAAAGGTGCAATGATTGAAAGGAATAATCTTTCTTTTATAAAGGGTGTCTCTAACTCCAAGACTATTATTCATTATTTGCCATAAGAAGATTTGGAGTTTAGGCGGGACGTCTAATTTCCATATCCAACGATATGGCCATTTTACAGCATTTGACTCTAAATCATGTGCTATCCATGTAGCCAACTTTACTGAAATTTTTTTTGAAGGCGTAGGCCCCATACTGGTGTGTCAGTCATTTGAGAGTTAGGTAAGGGGATGCGTATGATTAGTTGTACAATATAGCTTGGTAATAAAGAACAAAACTTGTGTTTATTCCAATTTCGATCGGGGAGAATAAAGTCTACAACACTTAAGTTAATGTTGACTTGGTGGCCTTGTAACTCTAAGGGTTCTAGGAGGCTCTTGTTTGTCACCCAGCTGTCTAGCCAAAAGTAAATGTCATTGCCATTACCTATTTTCCAACGAATGCCTTTGCGTAGAATTTTCCTCTGCGCGAGAATGGTTGTTCATATATGTGTCTTTAGGCTGAAGATGATAGTCAAAAAATGAGGAGCTATGGAGATATTTCTCTTTTATAAGTTTGACCCAAAGATTAGTAGGGACTGATAGAATCTTCCATCCTAACTTAGCGAGGAATGCTTTAAGGGAAGGGTTCGCCTTAAACCTAGGCCGCCGTGGTTCTTGGGTTTGCAAACTTTATTCCATGCTTTTAGAGGGGTACCAATTTTTTCTTTTTGCTGCCGCCAAAAGAAATTTCTATAGAGGGAGTCTAGATTTTTCGCAATATCAGTGGGAAGAAGAGATGAAGAACAAATGTAGGACGAAAGGGCTTCTAAATTACTTTGGATTAAAGTATGGCGACCCGCTTTAGAGAGGTAATTTGCTTCCCCAAAAGCTTATTCGTTGTTGGGTGCTAGCAAGCACTCTCTTAAAATCTTTTTTTATAGGGTAATAAGAGCTAAAAAAGACCCCTAAATATCTTCCGAGACAGGACTTGGGAGTCATGTTGAAATGGGCTGCAAGGGCAGTGCGACGACTATTTGTAATTTGACGTGAAGAAATGATTGACGATTTATGGAAATTAATGGTTTACCAAAGGAGGAGCAGAATTCATCTAGTATTCTCTTTAAATTATTACAAGCCGACGTTGTGGAAATTCTATATAATGCCTTATAACTAGTCCGTATATACAGATGGAACTCCATGGAAGTGTTGCATAATTTATAATTTTAGCCATCAGTAAAGCGGCCTGCCGGGCCATGTTTGGTATATGGTTCAACTGTCCAACCAACCAATCTCTAATTGTAGCTCATTAGTCATCTCATTCTTTGGCAGTCGTTCCTTAAATCTAGAATACACTTTTTTTTATCACTCCCTCCGTTTTTAAATACTTGCTCCACTTTTCATTTTTGGCTGTTATTAAATACTTGCTACATTTCCTTATTTGGAAAGCTCTTATAATATTTAATTCATATCTCTCAATTAGTGGACCCAACATAAATCACATTTTATTGATTTCATATTCTCTCTCCTCTAGTTCTTTAATGACTTTTACTTTTTATAACTTTTTATCCTTTCACCTACCTCACTACCTCCATATTTTATTATTTTCTCCAATTGCTCTTAAAATTCCGCGTATGAAAAAATGGAGCAAGTATTTAAAAATAGAGGGAGTATTTCTTTAAAAGACACCAATAACTTTTTTTTTTTTTTTTGAAATAGTAGTAATAACTACATATTGCAGTTATTTTTGTAAGGAACCAAAATATTCAAAGATTATTTGAATATATAACTCATGCTTTAGCATGATTACGTTCCAGTCAATAAATAGGAGGGTGCTTCAATGCATGAGGAGTGAATGTTGGAAGCTGCTCTTTAAACCTTTTTTATATGATCTTGATCAACACTATTCAAAAAAAAAATATGATCTCGATCAACTATCCTAGATTGCTAGCCATAATGCTCTTAACCCAAGTGATGAAATAAGTAACCCACGCGCACCAGTGGTGTCATTAAAGATCTCAGTTGGTTGCACATTAAAAATAGGAGAATTGAAAATTCCAATGAATTCATGTATGAAATTGTTTGTTTTGTTTCAAAAAAAAAAAAAATCAAAAACAAAAATGGAGGAATCGAAAATACGTGGGAATTCCAATGTCTTACAAAAATATGGGAATTAAATTACCTAGTCCCCCTTAATATTTTTAATTTTCACTAAAGTGTATCTTGATACAAACCAAACAAAATATGAAAATGACCATGAATTCCATTTGGGAATTAAATTTACCTAAATTATAATTTTTTTTTTTGTGAATTTTAGTTCATGTTTGAACCAAACAAGCACTAATCTAGCCTTTCAAACCAATTACCATGTGTTGTGAGTTGTGACATCAAGCTTACAAACTTGGATTTTTGGTGTGCTAATTCAGTTAGGATTAAAAATGTTAATTTTATCTCATTTTTCTTGGAAGGGAAGAAAATATTATCATTAATGAATAGCCATACGACATAACTTTTAGAGAAAATAACATAACTTTTACAATCAAAATTATAACTAGTTTGCATATTTGGC